AGTGTTGTTAGTGTAGTTGGTTTCAACCTGACCATATTTTCAAGGTAAAAACTTAAGTAAGACATCAGTACTTAAATTTAGCTATGATCGGGGCTTATGTATGTATGGAGTTAGTCTCTGTATATGTTTCAATTTTACCTTTATATGAATAAATTTTAGTCTAGAAAACCCTCCTCTAAGTTTAAGGAGGAGCAGAATGTTAAAAGAATACTTCTTGTATCTATAAAAGAGAGTACTACTTGTATATAGAATATTGGTCTAAGAGAAGAGAGTAAATTATTTGGAGTGAGGGATGGGAAATAAAATATGTCTGGGCTTATCTACAGTAGTATAAGATGGAAGAAAGAGCACTAACAGCTGAGATGGTGGGGCGTTTCCTTGTCTCCCTTGCTCAGAGCTGGGCTTAAGCAAATTTTTCTCATAAACTAACCTATGCATTTTAACTGTATGTTTTAACGCTTCCTGTGTGTATAAAGATAATTGTGTAGATTATGAAAGTTCTAATTGTATGGAATATAAAAGTTATGCCTGTCTCAATGCCTTGGTCCTGATGTTTGTTCTACATTTTATGTCTGTGTGCCAATATGACATTTCATCATCACCTAAGCTCAGGCACAGGGAAAGCCTAATCGTGCTCTGAGTCCATGGGGGATCACGAATGGGAGGATTGTATTTATTCCAGTAGGATTGCCACAGTGGAAGACAATCAGGGCTGAGAACCTACCTTCAAGTATTGTCCATCTCCTTACCTCTGAGAAATAGCATTGATCCTTAGGCTGAAAAACAATCTTATCCGGTCTTATCAACCCCATTATTTTTGAGAGATAACACTGCTCTTTCCCCACTTTCTTTACTGGAAATGTTCACTCCCAGACTTTGTGGGCTTTCCACCTCCCAAGTGACAGAAAGGTAAACCCCCTGAACACATTAGAAGTTGAGCGAAGCTGGAACAGTGCTCACAAACCAGCATCCTTTTGTCCTGCTCATAACAACATGGTGTAATAATCCTGAGCAGAAAAGAGTTACAGGGAGCAGATGTATATAATGGGTCTTGTGTGCATTTGCAAATTATTGATCTGCTGGAACATCATTTGTTCGTTACGCTGCTTTCACTGGCCTCAGAGCACAAACACGTTCTGGTGCTGCACAGACCTCTGTGGGGAGAGGGCATGCAGTATGGTTGATGTGGCTACCAGACTGGGGATTTGAAAGCTGGTGTGTAGACCTTTTCTGGAGAGGTGGGTAGTACAGAACTTGTGGATGATTGTAGTGTTTAGTGGTTTATATTGTTTGTAGATTAGACGTGTATATCTCTGTTGTTTATAGATTAAGTGCTGTATGTTAGAAGGAAGTGTTTAATGTTGGACCTGTTTGTTGAATCTCAGTGTGGTGATGGATTAGGCTTTTTTGTGGACAAATGAAGGTGAGTAGCTCAGTTACTGTTTATTGTTCTTTCTAAAAGCAGTATAAAATATCTGTTGCATCTTCTGATTCTTACGGAAAATAAACTTTTTGATGGACCATTATTTGACAGTTACTACTAGCATAACTTTGTTTATGGTAAGAGTTTTGGGCTGGCTTTCTAAGGAAACTGTATACTATTGACTGACAGTGCAGTTGTGGTTCCCCTTATTGTCTTTCCTTCTTCCTGCTTGAATAATTTCTGAACTCATTGGTCAATGTCAGTTGAATTTGTTAACGTTCAAAAAATTGCTGAGATATATAAGTTCCTACAAATACAGATATCAGTAGTTAGTTAGAGAGAAATTACTGCTTTCCTGTGGGGAATGACACAGAGCTCAGTTTATTTATTCTGTTTTCCTGTCAGCTTTCTGTTCAGTTGGTTCCTACATAATTTTTGTTTTGTCCCACTATGCGTTCCGTCTTGTTGGCAGTGTCGGGAGGAACGAGGAAGGCAGAGGAGTTAATGCTGTTGTGGAACCGGTAGAGATTAGGATAGAGCAATGCATATTTAGAACAACTTGTTACTGTTTCAAAATAATGTTGCAAATTAAAATGTCAGTGCTTGTATTTCCATTACAATAATTTATAAATATATGATGCATCTATAATATAATGACTATGCGAGATGCTTTTTGGATAAATAATACCTGGTCTCCATCCCAGAGATCTTCAACCCAAAAAATAGAATAATAGGACAGCCTGGGTCAGAATGGTCCAACCTTTTGTGGGAGAGGGAGCCTAGATGAGATTGTCTAGCTCCCTGTCCAGTAACATATTGAAAACCTTCAGTGATGGGGACTGTACTGCATCCTTGGGGAGGTTGTTCCAGTGATCAATTGTTCTCACTGTGACAAATTTTTCTCGTGTTGAGATGAAACTTCTCCCAGTGCAACTTGTACGCACTGCCCCGTGTCTTCTCCATGTGGCTCCTTGTGAAGGGAAAGCCTCTGTCCTCTTTGTAGCCACCCTTTAAGTGCAGGACTACTGTGATGAGATTCCTGATGAGCCTTCTCTCCTCTAGGCAGAAAAGACCTAACTCCTTCGGTCTTTCCTCACAGGGCAGGTTCTCCAGCCCTTTGATACTTAAACAAAAAACTACGAAGTCAGTATTGGAATGCCATGAGGTTCCTGATCTCTTTTAACCTTCATTTTCATATATAACAAACCCTGAGCTGTTGGAGTCACCTGTCCATAGTTACAAAAGTTTAATTCCTGCAGAGTTAGGGCCCCTGGTGTCACCTCAGGCATGTAACAGGAAACCTTTGGTTGTGGAAGTTGGGTGTTACACTGGAAATAAACAGCAAATGTAAATTATTTTCTTACTGGAGTATGTTGATCTTTCTCCCCCTATGCTTCCTATTGTATGTCTGCAGTGTACTTTATTTTGGTTTTCAGTCTCTCAAGTTTAAACATAGCTTTCTGCTCCTTTTCTCCATTTTACCCATCACTATTGAATCTGCTTACTGCTAACATTTTTCCCCCCCTCACTCTCCAGAAGCTCTTTAGAATGGTTTTATGCTTTCTTCGGCATCCAGCACAGGGCTAGGCTTGAGACTTCCCACTCCCTCCCCTCCTTCTGATGTGTTCAAGGTAAAGGATGAATAAACTACCAGTTTCTTTGGAGTACTAGTAATCTGTGGAGGAGTAACTTCCTTTAAGTGGCTAAACACTTTGAATGCTTTTATGCACTCCCTATCCCAGGATTTACAATATTTAAATTTTCTTAGCTTGCAAAAAAAACCCCAAAACAACAAACCAAACCAAAGACCACCACTACCCCTCCCCAACCCACCCTCCAGTTCTCCTTTTCAAATGTCTTGTCCTCCCGTTGCTACCTGAAGTGCTTTTCTTGTCCTTCTGCATACTCTGGGAAATTTGAATACGAAGAGAATCTCTGTTCTGCTGGTCTCTCTCCTGTTATATTTTAACATGCAAGTGTAAAAACTGCCTATGCTCTAAGATTCAATAGTACATGTGTGGAAGCTCAGAGAACTTTTCCGTTGCACTT